GCGTGAGGGGCGAGTACAATGCTCCAAGGCGGAGCCTAGCGACCGAGAGCGGGGCCTTCCCGGGGACGCCTTAAAGGGATCGGTTCCTAGTACCGCCCCGGTAGCGTTTGGGTTGGGGCGTTATCGCTCACCCCTGACCCTGCATTTCCTCCATGATGGGGTGTTTGGTTACCTCTCGTCGAGCGTGGAAGCCTCTTAAACTGTTACTCCTCAGATGCTGTGAAAGAGACCCGTGGTCTTTGAGTAGGTTAAGTAACATCAATCCCTAGTCAATAATTAAGCTGGCTTTAAAATACTGCTTTAGTATTTACCTGCAAGTCAGGAGCTGGCTCTCACACTGTTACATCTTTTCTGCGCTAGATTAGCTGAGTTAGCAAGATGACCAGATCAGTTTTAGAATTATTTAAGAGAGTAATTCACACGTTTGCCACACGGTGGTGACAACGGTAGGTAAAACGACACGGCAAATAGTTCAGTGAGCTCTGAGCAAGACCGTAACTATTACACAGGTACCTAACGTATTATAGACTTCTGTTGCCCTTTGATAAGTGCGCTGTGGATGGTGAGAGCTGACCTGTTGGGGCTATGTATAACATGTATCTCCTAACAGGGGCACGATGTGAACTTGTTCGCTTGTTGGGGAACAGGGGAGGTGGAGGTGTTTACAGTGGTGTGTGCAATGGATTTAGTCTAGAGAGCTCTTCTGCATAATAATTTAAAAAATGTATTAAAAGTGAATTTCCCATTGTTCAAATATACAGTAACGAATACTGCAGTAATTCAATGTTTTATAACAAGGAGAGTGCCTTTAAACTGTTCCTTTTCTCTCTCTCTCACCCCCTGCCACACCAAGAGTGGCTGCTATCTCTTCTCACAGCTGCAACAGCTGTCAGCAGAAACACCCTCATACTGGAGGTGGTTCTCCAAGGCAGCAGGAGAGCTCTGGGGAACCCTGCATTTAAAAGCAGGCACTATCGCCAGCCTAATTTGATATCAGCAGGCACTATCGCCAGCCTAATTTGGTATCAGATACCTGCACAAGCAGTTTGGGTCCAGCTGGCACAAAGCAGCACACCAGGACTGCCTTCTAAGTTACATGCAGAAAATTCTATGTGAAAATTGCTCCATATAACGTATCATCTAGGCAACATCTGAAAAGAGTAGAGGTTTGCAATCCTCACATCTGGAAGATCTACATCTCTGTATCAACAATATTGATGTTTTGCTTAGTACAACTTGCCTCCTCCTGAATCCCAGGACCATGCTGTGACAGCAGGAGGAGATGCCAGCAATCCAATGTCACCCTGCACTATGCCTCCCAGTGGAGAATGAAGGCCCAGGCACAATTTCTGGTCCCTTGGTGAGATCAGACTGCCTCAGTAGCAAAAACTTGGTTGGAAGGAGATTAAAAACAGTCCCTAGAGTGCTCAAAACCCCACTGTCCTAAAGCCGGGCATGGAGATTTAATTTCCATCAGTCTTTACACACAGCAGGCAGGCAGAGAAACCTGTGACAAAGACAAGCTTCTCCACTGCTGCGTGTTTTTTCCACTTAAGCTTATTTAGGTTGCACTAGCACAGACTGTGTATATTATACCCCCTTAAAAAAGAGAATATGCATTGCTTAGTATGGGCTCTGAACTCATCCAATGGTCCTGTTCTCCTGCAAAACATCTTTTGCTTTCTTAAGCCTCTATTCCATCCCAACCCTTGAAGGTTGGAGTTGGGGTTTGTTTTTTTTAAAGAAACATTGAAGAGATGACATGGTTCACTTTGGCAACCAGGTTTTAATAGAAACATACAATACACCTTCTCACATAAATATTTTACATAGACACAAACACTCGCAACACTCAAACTATGTAAACCAAAGCTCCAGTTCTGTTTAAACAGTGCAAGGGAAAAAAATAATTGTCACAGGAAGAATGGAAACGTGAAGTTTCTAAAACATAAATAATCAGTCTATTTCTCTTGTGTCCTTACACTCCACTTAAATACTGACTGGCTCACCACATTAACCAGTTGTGTTCTTACACAACAGTTGCAGGGGTAAGCAAAGCCAATGTACGTTCACTAGTTTGGTATTGCTAGCAATGGAGGTCATTCCAAGAGGGGTCTGACAGCCATCCTGCCACACATAGAAGGGATCAACATCACCTTCTCTGGAATCCAAGCTAAGATGCACTGCAAAACTCACTCTCTCCAGCTCACATGTAGAGAAGTTTTTGGATTTGCAGCACCAAAGGTTGATGAAGCACAGTGCAGTTTAGAGTCTCTGCTTCTTAAACTCAAAGGAGCACAGGTTAATTCCCAAGTCAAAACCATATACTTTTTCACCCTACTGCAACAACAAAGAGCCCTCTCATTCTCCACAAAGTAAAGGGAATGGAAAAACTTTCCGAAAGGAAAAGCTAACACTGCTTTAGGCCTGAATCCAGATTTAAAAAAAAAAAAAAATTTTTCTTAAAACAAAGGTAGACTTCAAAACACTGGCACACCACAGTAAATTCTCTAGTTCTTTCTTTGCAGAGGTATACGGCATAAAAGTCACTGAAGTGTTCCCACATTTCAGGTTCCTGATGAAGACATTACTTAATTCAAGATTTATCACCTGGCATTCTTTGCTGGCTTGCCTTATTTTTAGGAGCCTAAGCTTTTGTCTGCACACACTGTACACTGCTTTGTCGTTGCTAAATCAGGAACTAAAATATTTGTGAAGCACCTTGCAGGTGACACCACACACAGCCCTTGACTGCCACAGCCCAGGATGAGCAACAGATCCACCTCACACACCAGATTAAGCAAGACCCAAATAAATTCAGGCTTCCAGTAAATGTTGGTTTGATCCCATGCATAGGGAAGACATATGAGGTACCTCGTGTAATTGCCACTTTATTCCACCCATTCAGCAATCCTAGACTTGGTTCTCCAGCTCTTTGTGCCAGTAGTGCTCAGGATAACTAACAGCAGGATGTGCAGCTACCACTGTTGCATGCACCCTCATGACTTTAGGTCACTAAGGGTAGGAAGGACAGCAAAAGAAAGGAAAAGCTCTTAATACTTAGGATTTGGCAAATGATGTGCCCACGTGCCTAACAGCTAGAAGCAGCAAAAAGAACTTGACAGCTTGTCAGTCACAACATAGATTTATTTTATGCAGTGCTCTACTATTAACATATAGATATGTATACACAGGACATCCCCCACCATTCTTGGAGACTTGCGTTGTGTAGCACTACTCTCCCCTCATAGACAGACTGAGGCTAAAAAAACAGGCTGCACTTTCCAAGCATCCAGCCTGTTCCCTTACACTTTACTCAGGCTTAACTTTCACATCAGTCATCAAACCTTCTTGGAGCCAGAATCCAGTAAAGACCATCTTCTACAAAGCACGTCCCCTTTACTCTTGTGCTCGGGAGGTTGTCAGTGCAGGCAGCAACTGCAAATTACACTCTAAATTCTACAAACAATAGGTAGGTACTACCTTTTTTTTTTTTTTTTTTTTTTTACAGCTACAAGTGTCATGTCTTCATATTTAGAGACATTTGCTCTGTTTCTAAAGCAAATTGTAATATCTCTAGATAAATATTTAAGAAAATAAAAGCCAAAACTATCTTTTTTGCAAGGCACACTACAGAACAGTGCTCACACTTCTGCACTTAGCTTTGTGGCAACACCAACAGAGCTGCAAGAGTCCCAACCCAGCCAGCCAGCACAGAGGCACAAGTGAAGAGGGGAGCAGGCTGTACCCAAGTCTGGACAGCACGCACTATGAGGTCTTTGTAACAAAGCACGAATGAGGAAGAAGGCACAGTGGATGGAGAAAAGTGTATTTGTCTCTAAGCCTAAACTTGGGAATACTGATACGGACTACCTGTGAGGAGAAAATGATCAGCTGGGAAACTGTGAAGGATCTGTGTAGAGCCCAAAGAGAATTAAATTTCCCTCCTAAACACACAAAGGTCTCACACTTTGGAGAAAGCTTACAGGAAAGAGCAAACCCAAAGATACTCCACATGCAATCAGCAGCAGCTCTTAAGGGAAATCTGAAGTGTCAGTATGTATATGTGCTTCCATCATACATTTTACATGATGAGCTATGATCCTAAAAGCTACATGTAAGCACCAGCCCACACTGAGGGTGTTGATCTGAGATTAACAACTGAATAACAGGAAGCAAGTAAGTCTCTAGTACAACTGGATAAAATAAATATTTGAGTGTTCCTGATACAGTCAGACCAGCAGGAAAAACGTTTTCCAGAGAACAAGTAGAACTTTGGTAGCAATCAACTCTAAAGTGCCTTATGCTTCTTAATTCCTGTGCAAACACTGCTGTAGATGCAGAAGCACGCTTCAAGAGTGTTAAGATGCTCAATTACATAGTAACACGTGACACAGGAAGGAGTTCCAGTTACCTTCTCTGCTATCATGCATAGCCCAAGAGTGATGACAGAGACCATGTTCCTAGCTTTCCTTCAGCACTTCATTTCTCTTCCACCCACTCCTGTGCTGTAAGCATTAAGAGACACATCCAGTCTACCACCATGGTCTGCAACATTCCTGTGAGAAAAAAAGAGGTATGGAAAGAGCATCTACATCAGACGGTGGGTCATTGTGGCCTTACTGGCCAGACCAGCAAGGAACAGCCTGGCAGGTTCTGCAATCACCATTTCCTCCTCCAACAATTTTGCTCAGCAATGTCTCATTGCATAAAGGTGGTGAGCACAGAGCGATTTTTAAAAGGCGCTTTTCTCTCAGCAGTTTCCAGGCTATGAAAACCCTGCCATTTCCCATCCTTTTGGAATGCATCAATCAAATAATGCAAAGATCCGATCCTTCTTTCCTCTACTTGCCAAAAGGCCTTATCCCCTGCCTCAGAAGGGCTTTCTTCCTCCTGGCTGACCAAGGCTTATTCTTCTGTGGAACTGGGAACTTCCTAGTGCCAGTTGATCACAGCAAGCAGAAGGAGGAGTGAAGCCGGTCATTTCGTGTGAAAGTCAGTCAAGATTTCAAACCCATTTTTTCCATCATCTGCTCATACACCGTCCATGCCATTGCTGCCATCAGAGTCCGCCTGAGGGCACGAGGCACACCACCTCGGAAAAAGCCAACCAACCCGAAGTCCTGCAACAGGAGATAAACAAACAGTAAGCAAACAGCAATCCATCATAATCTGCCTCTAGTGTTTCAATTTCCCATCGTTTGTAACATGGAAAAGCATGGGATATATTTCATCTCAGACTCAGATCAGTTTCTGAAAGACCCAGGCTTAAACAGCATTTAATGCTTAGCAAGAACCTGTAGCACCAGGCAATTGCAGGGTTACCCAGGAAGGCAAGAATAGTGAGTGGAGAAAGGAATGCCAGGATAGGGACAATGGATGAGGAAAGCCACACTCAAGCCCAACAAAGAGAAGGCAAGGGTTTGACAGCTTCAAGACATCTGAAGAAAATGACTTGTCCTTGGTTTACAGCTTCGTATTTACAAAAGTCACTTAGCTATTCTGTAAAAACTGAGATTTCTCAGTACTGAAGTAAAAATATATTCCAATATAATAAAAGTATACCATGCACAAAAAAAAATCCATGCACAGATAAGATTCCTGTTTACGAATAGAGCTTAACATAGAAACAAAGCAAACGTGCCAATGTTCTTCTGAGGGCAGAAATGGAAAGGTGGGCTGTGAGTACACCTCTATGCCATTCCAGGGATACAGATCTGGGTGTTTATTTCTCTTTTAGCATCCAAAGGCCAAATAATTATTTTGTAGCTGGCTTATATCTGAAACTGGCATTTCACACTACCTACTAAAGAAACTCTTTGCCCCAGTGGTAATCACAGATGTGGCTACACCAATAAACCACAGACAGCAGCAGCTGTAAGTACAGCTCCTCCAAGCTCACATAATAAGCTCAGCTGAACTGAAGTCAAGATGAAATAAGCTAAGTGCTTTCCATCACTACCAGTGTGAGAATCAATATGTAACAGACAGAACTGAAGTGAAATCATTCACCAGCCTGAAACATGAAGCAGGCCTGTGTGGAGAGATGCTTGCTGGAATAGGCCCAGCTTTCTGCTCCAGTACTCTGAGCTTGCTCTCCAATTCCTCATCATCTGTAATTTCGTGAAAACAGATATAGGACTGATGAATGGCAAGAGTAATCATGGAGCAAGTTCACTGCCTTGAAATCCATTCAAGAGAAGCAAGAAACACATCTGAGTTGTGATAGTAGCCTCTCTAATTACAAGGAAAAGCAAGGAATGGACTGAAGCCTCTGACTGCTTTCAGATCATCAACCACAGTACTTTCCAGTTATTACTGAACAAGTCCGCACGTAAACCACTGACAAGAGATTCAGTCTGTCACAGCATGACTCACCTCAGCTTCTGAAAATGCTGACAGTGATTAGCCTGACTGCAAGAGCACATCAAGCAGTCACGATTATTCACCTCATTTAAAAGACAGTAACTTCCTTATCACAGCTGTGCTTCATGGGAGGAGATCAGAAGCAGGGCTTCGATTGTGCGTATTAGAAGGGATTCACCTCACCTTGTAGATGAAGGCAAAGGCCTGGCTTGTCCTGCGGTACTTTTGCGGGGACAGCTGCATGTGTGTTTTGACAACATCAGCAGGCTGTGTTGCCAGTGAGGCCAAGATTCCCGCAAATATCCCACAGCCAAAATTCAGGAAGGGCATGAGCACTGGGTCCAATTGGCCTGCAACAGAGCAAAGAGAATGCACTCAGACTCAAAATAGGCCAGGAAAATTCATACTGCATGACAAAGTGAAAAGCTACTGAATGATTAAATCAACATCAGGGTCTAAGAGAAGTTAAAATCCATGCAGGACAGAAAAAACTTTCAAGGCGAAAAGTGGCTACAAGAAGTTAGCACTACTAAAAAGCCTCACTTGCTGGGGAACTGAATTTGACAGGAACCCAGATTGTGCAAGTGTTGCCCCAGTCAGCTCTAACACCAGAGGAACCTGGGGTAAGTGGAAACTGATCAGTATACAAGACAATCAGCAGCAGAAAGGACAGCTGAACACATCCTCTTTCAACTGTTCACTAACCCACCTTATACATCAGTCTTCATAAAGACAATCAACCAATTTAGGGCCATTTTCCATTTCTACAGTGACCTGAGCTGTAGGTCTACAGTTCTCCACAGGAAAATGTGAATATCCTACCTAGAGTTCTACAAGAGACTAATTCAACTACTGAGGTAGAGGGCTATAAGCAGAGCATGCAGGCAGTCACCTGCAGGGCAAGATGCAAGAAAAGAACCATCTCCCATTACAGACTCCAATGTTCAGCCTTACCTTGAGGCGTGAGCTTTTTAGTCTGTGTGTAGAACATCAGGTAGATCCCAGAGAAGGGTGCATCCCGCAGCAGCGTTGCAGTGAGCCCGCTGAACATGCCACGAGCCCCTTCCGTCTGATAGATATTCTTCAGAGCTCCATATACACTCCCATAGCCAAATCTTCCACTCTGCAAGGGTAGACAACTGTCAGTCCTCCACATGCCAGGCACAGGCCAAGGAGTCCTGCACAAGCTCCATGTGACGTCTGAGATGGCAGCACAAAGGACAGTCCAAGACAAAAACTGGATTTCACCTACCTCAGCCTTTAAAACAATCCTTCAAGAAGGTAAAATAAGAAAGATGTTAAAAGTACACATTGTATACAACATAAACTTAAAAATGTCAGGGTGAGTTCTGTTTTATCTTACACTTCTTGCCTAAAAATCAGTGCACGGCTTTTCCTACACAATGTGTGAACCAGGATGAAATCAGGACTACATCCCTGACTTTACTCAAGTGGCAGCAACCTTCTTCAGACAGAAGAACTTTTTTCATCGTGAGGAAGGGGTGCAACATCATTAACAGGGAACTAATTAGAAAGTCATACTCACCTCATATCGGGTCTTCACTACAGTCACTGGCAACATGCAAATCCCAGACACTGCACGTGCAGTGGCACCCAGAAAGACAGACTCCAGGGCTGTAGGTGAACGGTCCACTAGAAACTTTTGCTTCATCATGTACAAAGTGCTGAAGTAAATCCCAACCCCAGGAATACATCTGGCAAAGGACTTCAGAAGCAGCAGATGAAGAAAGAAAAAGCACACATCAGACAAAATGTACTATAAACATTTCAGACTGTTAAACTTGACAGGAAGCTTCGAACCAAAACAAAACAAATCACATTTTTCCTCAGCTAACATGCTGAGGAAAGAAGGCAAGGTAAAAACCATTTACAGCATTGACAGCAAATTGATTCACTGCATTCGTCAACTGAGGTTTTCTAGGAACAAAATACTCCCAAACAAAATTACTTTGGTGCACTTGCCACCCCACGTGTTCAGCTGCTCAGGACTGCAAATCCACAGTGACTGCTATAACCTAACCAGTGGAATTCACAACATTAACTCTTTAAAATAGGATTTAACCATGTAAATCACATGGTGTTGTTCATAATTATTCAAGTGCTGGCTACTTAAAACCTGTCCATAGTTAGTAATAACATGGAGGTTTATTTATGAATGTATTTTTAGAAGTCAGGGTTAAAACAGCCACTTACTGGAGAGACACCTTTCCAGAGCCCCAGAAGACTCTCTGTACGAACAACTCTAAAGAGCAGCGTTACCATCCCAGCACGACTGGACCTGAAACAAAGACAAGACAAGAACTGCAGAGACGGCCTGCTTATGCTCTCTGGCAGATATACTCTGCAGCCACCCCCTTTCACTCACATCTCTGTGCATTACCCCAGCACCTCAAAGGTGTTCCTTCTAGACTCAGCCTGCTCTCCTTGGTCACTCGTTTAGGACTTCTCTGTCACCTTCTGCTTTCCCACCACTTGTAACACACATTAGAGGCCTCTCTCATTAGCACCTTAAGTTGCTCACTCCCTTTGTGAGCAGCAGAAGGTGTAGTCATAGTTGACTACACCATGCAAACAGGAGCAGCACCGCACATGGACAGGTTATGTGGCACCCACACAAAATTTTTCAGGCAGAGGACACCCCATGAAACTGCACTGCAGCCACTCCAGTAAACACCAGTCTCTCAGATGTGTACAGATAAATACTCTGATTTCATGTTATTAGTGCTCACAAGGGCAGCCATTTCCTCTCTTTTGGAACAAAATACCAATCCTGCTCCATGCTTTAAAAGCATATCTTCTATTTCAGAAACACTCTCAGTATCTGAATTACAACCCTGAACTCCAAGCCCCAGCCAGCAAATCAGGAAGAAGCCTACAGCGGAGTATGCCCGCATTGGCCCCACATACACATCCCTGCTCTCTTACCCATTAGCAGCAGGCTGCAGAGTCTGCAGGCGGGTTTTCAGCAGGTCAAGGGGTTGGAAGAGGAGTGTGGAGCAAGTCCCACTGATGGAGCCACACACAAAGGCCTTTAGGACTGGATGCATCTGAAAGAGGAAGAAGAGGACTTTAAATTGCATTTAATTAAGAATGGTACAAGAGGATATATAGCAGCTGATATGTTGCTTGTCACAGGAAAAGAAGACTGGCTAAGGACTGCTGCTTAGGGCATGGGAAACTTTTACAGACCTTCTCAGAGCCTGATAAAGTTTTATTTGTGGTTTCTGGTCCCTCTGCCTTTCCTAGGAGATTGCTGCAGAATCTCCTTGCAATTTGGTGGTTGGAAAATCTCCTGAACGTCAAACGTATCAGCAGTCATGGGGTAACCATTTGCCACATTAAAGGAAATGGGTCCCACCAACTTCTTGCCTTCGCCCAAATCCCATCCACCTCTGCTCAGCACCCTGCTGGCAGTGCCTCCAACCCTTCCTCCCCATTGCACACCAAGGTCCCCCCACTACCATGGGTACTAGCAGAGCTCTCCCTCAAAACAGCTCACCACCCAAACCCAGTTCAAATGCACTCAAAGCACAGCATGGCCTGCTCAGCTTAGGTCTGCTTTTCCTATCCACACCAGCTGCCATCTCTCAGCACTTCTCGGGTTATAAGGCAGGAGGCACAAACCACGTCATAAGACGAAGTTGTTTTTTTTTTAATTAAAATACAGAATGGTGTTTTGTCAATAAAGAACGAGTTTCTACACTCCCTTGAGCAGAATCACGTCAGAGATTTTTGAAGCACGGCGGTTTCCAGAGGGGAACACTCAATTAAAGTCTCTTTTGCAATGAACTGCACACGGCTGCCTTCCACCATCGGCTTTCAGACCCCTCTGAAAACTCGTTACGGCTCTCCCGCT